CTCTCGAGCTAGTCTGAGTTAGCTTCATCAATAATAATGGTTTAATTACAGCGGCAGAGAAGGTGAGACCAAGCAAATACAAAAAATCCTAATATTTAAAAAATATACATCAACAACCGAGTAACAGCGATAAGCTAACCCGTATGATTTGACATTACTGCAGTCTGTTTCTTCCGTCTACAAATGCGCTCAGTTAGACGACTTGGTTTGATTTTATTGACCTTAGTTTTTAAACCTTCGTAGTAGAAATCTTTATTTTTGCAAACGGACTTGGTCTGTTCAACTTCTCAGCTGCTTAAAAACACTTATTTTTGATCGGAAAGAACAGTAACTTTTTACTTTATCTGACTGATGTACAATTTATCATAAACAAACCTGCTTTATGTATACCACGAATAACGCCTTCAGGCAAACAAGCAGGAGAGTTAAATAGTATCCTTGATAAACACACAAAGAGAATTTATTTTCATATATAAAAAATATAGCAAACAGAGGTTTAAATATCATCAACTACACATGGCGCGTCACAAAAACATCAAGCGAACTACAGCGGTGTTTTTTATTATATTTCATCAGCAAGATAACGCCGATATTAGGAGAATACACGCTCAGCTTAACTCCAAACAGTATCCAGAATGAACGATATCATGCAATTTAGTTGATAACGCGAATTAAAAGTATACTCGACCGAACATGTATTTTATGGATGCAGTGCAGAAATATAAGGACGTTGGAGACGGATCTCAGCTATTAGTAGAAAAATTTCGTACACAACTTACGGGGTGTTGGTTCGACAGTTGATATTGAAATTGCATTGATACCTGGAGTAGAATCAGGTGCGGCGTAGTACGTATATGTGCTGGTGATAAAGAACAGATTTATAACAGTTGACTCTGTCTGACTGTAAAATGTCGTTCCATGTTTAATTTATAAACTTTATATAATGACAAGATAAATTGTAAAAAAAATATATTTGACTGATGGTAAAGTTAATGATGTTGAAAAGCTTAGGTAGGTCTCATTGAAACAAAACACGACGCCAAAGGCACTTTGAGAAAGTTAACACTAACCAAAACACAGATAACTAAATACGATCGCGGCAGACAATTTGTCTTGAATTCGAGTACCACACAAATAATTGCAATTGCCGAAGGCGCTTTCTTTTGGCCGGCGATAGCCGTAACTGCCAAAACATTTATACCTAAAACGTTTGTCAATACTTGGTACATTAGGATTATCAGCAATATACGACGCAAAGAGAAAGGCTGTATAAAGACGGTATAAAGAAAACTTTTGTCTAAAGATGTTATATAATGCCCCGAAGAAGAAAGACAACAACGATAAAGAGGTGATCGCTAAACAATTAAAGGCGGATTTATCGGACAATTGCTGGCGGGAGTAGCGAGAAGTCTATTGCCAAATCTGCTGTGAATCTACCGAGGACTACCGTTGTCAGGGAAAAGCAAATGAATTCTCCTGCGTTAAGTAACTTTGATATACTTAATAAGCTAAACAAAATATTTAAAAATTTCCTTGGAGTTTATTCCAAAGATTGTGGTTTGTGTTCGTGCGTGATAAATATATAAAATTTTAACGACCGGCACAATTTGCGTAGCCGGTTGTGATAACAATTATTTTTACTCACCACGTGACGCAATTAAAAATATATCAACGAAAGAAATACAAAAATATTCATATAACCAAATTCAGAAAGTTGGAACAATTGCTTATGGATATGATTGTACAATGTTCATAAAATGAATGTCCCACCCATAATTCAATGTTTTAAAACATATTTTACAAGCAACCTTTTCATGCAAATGATGAGATTACAATTAATTTTGTATGAAGTCAACATACTATCTCAGGTGCGAAACTAAAACAGAAAATAAAGATAAAAAACAACAGAAAACCCCCACAAAAGTAGAATAATGCTGAAAAGTATTTGTGGAAAAGAAAAAGTATGTATTGAAAGAAATTGCCAACAATCAATCCTTGAGAGCTGGAATGTGCGACAAGGTTATTTTAGTAGACGATTAATAAATAATGATATGCGAGTGCGATTTAATTGCTTGTGTGTTAATTCTAAGTTCATTTTTGTATCTTTGTTTCATAACGTTGATAGTAATCCTTATTTTCACACGATTTGACACTGAAAATAATGTTCAGTCTAACAAGAAAGCAAAATATGACACTATTTGTAGCTTATTTTGGTTCATAGATTTTGTAAACATGTAGTGGAAACGATTGGCTTTTAGCAAGGGCATATTAGGCCAATGTGTTAGCCATGTTGTAAACAGCCTGTCTGTTTTATTCCAGTGTTTGAATCTAATTTATAGAAAAGTCTATTCTAGTCTACGTGCAAAATGGCATTTTTGTTTTCAAATGCGCTGTTTGATCTAATGTCTACGTTTGTCCAAAAACGGCGTTTCATCTGGTTTTAAATACGCATACTTAGTAAACAATACATTGAGGCAGAAAAATTTATGATGGTGCCCTTTGAGATTTTTCTCAAAATAAATTATTTACACTGGAAAATACTTTTCAACATCAACATTCTTGGACAAGGACATTTAAAGGAAATTTATTCTGGATTGCTAAGTCCAAGTTGTCATTCAACGAACTGTTGACTTTCGTACAAAGACTTCGTCTGATGTCGTCGCTCTCTATCTTGGTATATCATCGGAATTCTAACTGAGATTCATTTAGAACTAGTTAGTGATATGATATAAATTTTCAAACTCCAGAATAAAGGTTTGGATTATATTCACAAACTGTACGTATTATTTACATATTTGTACAATGTTTTCTTAGGAAATAAATTATCATATTTAAATATACAAATATTGTTGGCTCCACACGTTTCTTTGCTACTTTCTATGAGCCTTGTAACTTAACAGTGATATAGATTTCTGTCCGGAGCAAAATACAATTGTCTCGTAATGTCAGAAATGAAACAACATAGAAATAATTTGAACATGTATAAATATACATAAATTATTTGGCAAATTACCAAAACCAAAAGGAGGATGTAAATAACCATGGCACAAATATACTGGAACATACAATCCGCCATTTAAACAAGTAGATGAAAATGATAATCTATTATCAGGACAAGAGCCTTACAATCAATAGCAGTGAGTAGTGATATCTGTCATCGTGATAATGAACAAGATAAAAAAATGTAATGCTAGACGAACCTTGTAATATGAAACCTGAAATATGCGACAGCGTGTTGATATAAGCCTAGTTCAGAGTTTTATTGCAGCAATATATAAACTTGGTCTAAGAGCAATGGAATCGCTGGCATCAGAGCTACACAAACCTAAAAACATTTACGCGACGTAATGTTGTCGCAAATGCCGTTGGCGATACCTATGCGATAGATTTAGTTGATGTATGAAACCTTTCTCAGCTTAATGACAACAAAACTATCATTTTGATTTTGTAAATAATTTTAGCAAATAACTCTTAGTGTACCCATTTCAGATAAGACATGAATGTCGATAACTGATGCACTAAAGCAAATAATAGCAAGTACAGAAGGAAAACCAAACAGAATCTGGAGCGATGAGCGTTATCGTCCAGCGATTTAATCGCACGCTAAACGAGCTGATACACAAACATTTGACACTCTACAACAAATTGTTGATAAATATATTATCGCGAAGCACAGATCAATACAAATGTCATTGAACAACGCAATTAAAAATCCGATATTAGCAAATGGAAACATATACGTCAGACATAAAATAACAGGTTTTGATAAAGTTGGAATTTCTCTGAAGAAACATATTTGGAAAAGCATCTACTACAAACTGGAGAGAAAAGGTATTTGTTGTTGATGAAGTAATTTTAACATTACCGGTCATCTATGCACTATCTATGCACTAAAACATTTGTTGGGTGATTCTATGAAAGTTCAATTAGGCTGAGAGGATACAGCGATTCTTGTAACAGTTGGTACCAAATAAATCTATTACATCAGCCATGTTGTAATATTGTTATAAATTTGCTCGCACTTTATTAGTACAGATTTACATCTGACCAGTTTACACAACGGCATTAAATATAATTTTATTGCATAATGGACTGGCATTAAATTAAATATTTTAACAAAAGTAAATTATATTGGATGCTTCTTTAATGGCCATTTATTTTCAGATTAAGAAAAGGCTTTATAAGTTGCCAAATTTTTTTGATGCTATGGAAAAATAACATTAATTTTTATTATTTGTTTGGTGATATGATACTCAATAGTATATTGTCCAGTTGCCGGTTTACTGTTATCTTTTGTATGAACTACGTCCACAATCGCTTCTTATTCATCGTCATTATTAAATAAAATTTCATGTATTGTATAACCAACATTATCCATCGCAGTGTAAATTTATCGTCCGCAAATATATCAGCAAGTTGTTTCGTTAAATGGATATTATAATATGTTTTTATCTAATTTACAACAACAACAACAACAACAACAACAACAACAACAACAACAATAATAATAATAATAATAATAATAATAATAATAATAATAATAATAATAATAATAATAATAATAATATAATAATAATAATAATAATAATAATAATAATAATAATAATATAAATGACTAACAAGATGAAATCTTCTAAGATAAAATATCATCAGAAAGTTGATATATTAAATTACAAAGAATTAGCTGAAGCACTTCGAAAATGACTGTCGAGATAGTTCTTATTCGGTTGACGTTATTGTGATGCAAGGTGACTTCGAAAAAATTCTTCTAACAGCAGCAGAAAAATAAACTTAATGACAGTCCATTTATAACACTGAAATTTAAAAAAGGTTTTGATGTTTGCTCATATTTGTCTTACCAAAACCGAGTTAAAAAATAATTTTGAAAATAATTCTGTCAAATGTCGACTTGTTGAGTTACTTTTTTTAAATAGAACCGTCATAACCAGCTCCTCGTTCACTATTTTCTTTGATGTAACTAAATCTAAATTTTCAAAACCGCTCCGGTGGCCTTGTGGATCGAGCGTCCGCCTCGGATGCGGGAGGTCTTGGGTTCGATCCCCGGTTGAATCATACCAAAGACTTATAAAAATGGTACTAACAGCTGTCTCGCTTGATGCTCAGAATTAAGATGATAGAGTTATCACATAAACTGCCACACTGCAGACATCGTAGCGATAGGACTGAAAATTTCTTAAAGCTACGTTAAAAATCATAATCACTAAATTTTCATTCAATTGTCGGTTTTAATTTTGTTAACATGATCGATAAGAGAATAATTTGAAATAGTTGTGTTAAAAGTTTCATAAACAAAACGGTTACTATGTTAATGAACATAATCTATTTTAATATCACTTACCGTCATAAACAGATAACCGCTATTTTACAAATTTCCAACATTGTTCTTCGCTGTCGTATAATTCCGCAATAGTTAGCATCATGCAGGTCGAAATTTGAATGTTGCTGGAATTGATCTTGCAATGCAAACTTTTTATTATTGTCATCCTTTATTGATCCGTTTGCTCTATACAGTTTTTGCCCATTACCGTATATTACCGTAAAACACAGTATAAATAAAATCTTTCCTAAAGATTTCAACTCTTTCTATATTGTTTCCAGTAATACTTATCATTATTCCAGCTACTGTTGATTTACCAAACGGTGTTTGATATCTCACGTTAATCACCGAATCAAGTGCTTTTGCGGCATAACTATTATAAATCGGATGTATGTGATAATATTCCTGTACCTCCACTGGCAAACCAATATATTTAAAATTTCTATTATTATTTTATATAGCTATTTATATCTCAATTGAAAATTAAAAAAGTTCGGTTAAATATATAAAATATTATATAAATATAATGTTGAAATCGCGAGATATTGATAAAAAGAGCCTTATCAAGAAAAGAAAGAACTGCTACCACCTTCTTCGGAGACGATAACAGTAATAAATTTGATAATCAAAATTTTTTGCAAATTATAACTCTACAAATTTATTTAATCTTCTGCCCTTCGTAAAGGTATCACGCTAATAGTACAGTATTATGTTGTTTTATCAAAGTTACATGCGTTTTAATAAGATATATTTGATATGCACTTTGATAATATATATTTTACCTATAATATTGGAGAACACATCACGATTAACTAAACAATTGGATGAATATACTGCATCAGGAAAGGGTTGGAAATTTGAATTGATAAAAAAAAGTTCTATTACTCTCAATAGCAGTAGTTCTTACGTTGATCTCCATCAAAAATGTTAAAAGAAAAAATGTTGCATAGATGTCAAAAACAAAACATCCTCAAAGTTGTAAATCCGACCGTGTTGAAAGATATTTGCCGTATAAACATGAGTTAAATTTTAATAGGATAACTTTTCCAGTGGCAGAGATTCAGATATTAAACTTTGAAAACAAAACAATATTGCAGTAAATGTTTTCGGACTATATGAAAAAGAGAACGTTTACCGGAGATATATTTCAGCGACTGCTACACAAAATACAAAAATTTTATTATTTTATAAAGAACATTACAGCTGGTTAAAAACTTTAACGGCCTTGTTGGCAGACAATGAAACAAAGAATAAAATAGGAAACATTTATGTTAAAGTTGTTTAAAAGGTTTCTTTAAAGATGAAAAACTGCAAGAGCATCTCAAATACCGTGTTAACATTCAAACAGTAACTATGCCAGGAGAAAATGAAGTATTAAAATTAAAAATATATAATTATAAGCTAAATATCCAGTTTGTCATTTATGACGATTTTGAGTGTCTACATGTTCCTGTGTCCGGCGCTGAAAATAATCAAGTACAAGAAAAATGAAACAACATGCTTCCTGTGGCGCAGCTTATAAAGTAGTTCGTTGCACTAACGATAATTTTTAATCTCCAGTAAAGTTAAACGGATGTAAAAAAGCGAATCTGTGGTTACTAAAATATTTATTAGATGTTAATAAAAGTTTCAACAAATTATCCAGCAGAGCTCCAATGAATATAACATACAAACTACACATTGATTTTGATGAGGCTGTTAATTGTCACATCTGTGACAAGTTGTTTCCGGTACTAAAAGTGAGCGGTCACCGTCATCTAACAGGCAAATATGTCAGAGCAGATCACATATACATTGACAAGGTGTCTGAGAGATAGAAGTCTCACTTTTCTTTACTACTATAGCGAGATGAAGAAAATAGTGACCGATGAAAATAATTAAAAATATACAAGCTTTTAATCCAAGGTTTTAATAGAAAACATGTTATAAAGTTATATTTTGAAATCCTAATGAAAGCCTGAGCATATATATATATATATATATATATATATATATATATATATATATATATATATATATATATATATATATATATATATATATATATATACCTTCGTGATGTTTATTTAACTGGAGATACAGAGTTTAGAAGAAATTTTAAATAATTAACAGCATGCCAATTAATGTAAAATAAAGTGTATACGCAAAAACAACATTTGATATTGAACTGCAAAGCAAATAAAGAGAGAACGAAATTAAAAGCAAAATTACAACTAAATTTGTACCTTTCAGACAAAAAGCCTACTGTAGACAATGGATACAAATACCAACTGCTATTCAAAGAAATAATAAATTAGATAATAGTTATCGAGTTCAGATTTGGTAGACCATCTTATTTCACTTGATAAAGAAACAAACAACACGACATGTTAGAAACACATGTAAGTCTTATACATTGACAACCATATTTGTCGTTCTATATGTTTGCTACCAAACAAGAAGGAATGAGTTTGAAACTCGTGGCGGCATTCGCAATATTTGATTTTTTTATAAATTACTTTTTGTAGATTTATCTTCAAAATTATGTTAAACTCTATCATCCAGCTTATTTATTTATTTATTTGTTTAATTTTTTATTTATTTATTTATTCCCGTCTTAGGACGAGCAATTAGCTTAGTCATATATAAACACCCACATTTGTATCCGTGAGTCCGTGCTGCCAAACAAGAGGTAGGGAGTTCGAAACTTTCACAATTTCTTTCAAGCTTAGTTTTGCATTTGTATGTTCAAATTTTCTTTTAAAGTCACTAATCCCTATTAATTTAAATCTTTAACATTTTTTTTTATTCCCGTCCTCTGACAGGCAATTAACTTAGCAAACAAATACCGAGTGGTCCTATCATCCTGAAATAGGAGGGGCCGGGGAAGGGCGTGCGGGAGTGAGAGTTGGGTGTTCCCGGGAAGGGTAGATATAAATCTTCCAGTAAGAGAGAGGCCGTAAGGTGGAAGCTGCACGGCTTCCCCGCCAGGAAGTGGAGGAAAGAAATACTTTGAATAACAGTCTTACAAATACAAAAGGAAAATCATATGCTGAGGCACACGAGTGGAAAAAGATGCTCGCCTTTAAAATAGCTGAATTTTCTCAACTCACTTACTCATCCTGAATCGAATCTAGAGCTAAGCTGAGGTGTGTATTCGAGAAAGGTTGCCAGCAATTTCCAGTTGTTCATTGGATCTTCCCATGGGTTTCCCGGGTTCTTTCATCACCATATATGCTTGCTGCCATGTTTAACCTATCATGTGCTGAAAATGGCAGTTAAGCGTTGAGTCCACAACAACGAAAACAACAATAAGAAAATTGCAGATCCTAGCATAGATTAACACGAACACTACATACAGGAAATAAAGGATAAACAGAAAGGTCTCTTTCAGTAAGAAATGATGAGGGTATTATGCCAATGCTACTAGCTAACGCTAGTCAAATCAGTATTTCTAAGAGGGGCATAACAATACACGAACAGGATCAGATCAAGATCAAGTGTTGGTGGAGGAGGCCAAAATTTCAAAGGGGTCCTGTCCTTCCTTGAAAAGGAACCAAAGCAAACGCAAATGTGTATATTTACCCAATAAACTTGCGCAAAAAAATTTCAACTGACAGTGGCTGTAAATTTATGTCTGTACATTTTCTTTATGTAGCGGGAGGGGTAGGGCTGGACCAGACTCCATCCATCCCTTCAATTTCAATCGCTGAGAAAAAAGAAAACATTAAGAAGAACACAAACACAAAACTAATATCTCCAAGTTATCAAGATTAATACGATTAACACGCAAGGTTTCATTACAAAAATATTTTTCCGATAGCATATGTTAGGGAGGGGGTATAGAGTAAGGTAACTGTGAAAGGAGCAAGTTAGGACGACCGGCCCATTACGGGCTAGGTGTCCTATTTATCTGCCCTTCTACCATCATACATGCCCGACATATTAAACCCTATACTTTTAATGTTCTCCTTCTGAGTTCTTTCCCGCAGAATAAAAATAAGAGAAATAAGACAACTGAAAAAGGAAATCTATGAAAGTCAGTCTAAACATACACGCTTATCGGTATAACATTCAATAGGCACATATAGTTGGACAAAAATCTGATCCAAGACTAGAAACACTGACTTTATGAGGAACCAAAAACCACCCCAAGAGTCTATTGCCTGAGCAGGAGAGTACGAACCAGGCTTAAAAGTGTTTTAGGTATGGACAAGGAATCCACTTTCTAGAGACTAAGTGTCCATACCTTGAAGGTCAAACCTTTACAACCTAAATAGCCGTTAGTTTGATTAAAATATATTAAATGCGATACAATTTGTGTAAGTTACTTTGAATTAAAAAATTACTAAAACCTGGCATTTAGTTAATTAGACTTGTATTAAAGAGTCAGGCTGAATAAATTACAGTTCCAACACAGCAACATTTTCCAAGTTTAACGAGATATGTTAACAAAACTTCCGAAAGCTGCATATATTTTCCACGGTTTTGATAAACGGTATGCGAGAAATCTGATCTCAGAGTTTTGGGTGATTTCTTATTCTAAGACCTGAACAATTTATGAATTATTGACCGAAACATGTCATCCAAATAATCATCATGGCAATTCATGTTTTTTTTACTTGTTAAACTTAAAAGTCAAAACCAGACTTTCAGTGTCAAGAGCTGATACAGAGCTCTAAAACCAAATGTCGTGCTGTATAGAACATGTACACGCTTTATAAAGAGAAAGTTATCAATACTGGATATATGATGT